ACACACACGGGGGGAGAGACACGGGGGGAGAGACACGGGGGAGAGAGACATGGGAGAGACACGGGGGGAGAGACACAAGGGGGAGAGACACAGGGGGAGAGACACGGGGGGGAGACACGGGGAGGGAGACACGGGGGGGAGGCACGGGGAGAGAGACACGGGGGGAGACACGGGGGGTGGGGAGACACGGGGACACAGATGAGTAATCTCGACATGCGTGTTTCTCCCTGTCTCTCTCCCCGTATTTCTCCACGTGTCTCCCCGTGTCTCTCTCCCCCCCGTGTCTCTCTCCCCGTGTCTCTCTCCCCGTGTCTCTCTCCGTCTCTCCGTGTCTCTCTCCCCGTCTCTCCCCGTCTCTCGCTCCCCGTGTCTCTCTCCCCGTGTCTCTCTCCCCGTGTCTCTATCTCCGTGTCTCTCTCCCCATGTCTCTCTCCCCGTGTCTCTCTCTCCGTGTCTCTCTCCCCGTCTCTCTCTCCCCGTGTCTCCCCGTGTCTCTCTCCGTGTCTCCCCGTCTCTCCCCGTGTCTCTCCCCGTGTCTCCCCGTGTCTCTCCCCCCCCCGTGTCTCTCTTCCCGTGTGTCCCCGTGTCTCTCCCCGTGTCTCCCCATGTCTCCCCGTGTCTCCCCGTGTCTCTCCCCGTGTCTCCCCGTGTCTCTCCCCGTGTCTCCCCGTGTCTCTCTCTCCCCGTGTCTCTCCCCCCCCCGTGTCTCTCTCCCCGTGTCTCTCTCCCCGTGTCTCTCCCCGTGTCTCCCCGTGTCTCTCCCCGTGTCTCCCCGTGTCTCTCCCCGTGTCTCCCCGTGTCTTCCCCGTGTCTCCCCCCGCGTCTCTCCCCGTGTCTCCCCGTCTCTCTCCCCGTGTCTCCCCGTGTCTCTCCCCGTCTCTCCCCGTGTCTCTCCCCGTCTCTCCCCGTGTCTCTCCCCGCGTCTCTCTCCCCGTGTCTCTCCCCGTGTCTCCCCGTGTCTCCCCGCGTCTCTCTCTCCCCGCGTGTGATCCGCAGGCTGTGACTGGCAGTCGGCACGCATGCTGGACACCTCTCCACTGCACCTTCTGCTCCCCATGTCTCTGGACCTGCGTGTAGGACTCAGCCTCATGGACACGGCGATCCAGGCACCCAGGTAAACCACCGTGTCTCTCCGTGTGTCTCTCCGTGTCTCCCCGTGTCTCCCCCGTGTCTCCCCGTCTCTCCCCGTGTCTCTCCGTGTCTCCCCCGTGTCTCCCCGTGTCTCTCCGTGTCTCTCCGTGTCTCTCCATGTCTCCCCCGTGTCTCCCCGTGTCTCCCCGTGTCTCTCCGTGTCTCCCCCGTGTCTCTCCGTGTCTCCCCCGTGTCTCTCCCCGTGTCTCTCCCCGTGTCTCTCCGTGTCTCCCCGTGACTCCCCGTGTCTCTCCCCATTGTCTCCCCGTGTCTCTCCGTGTCTCTCTCCCCGTGTCTCCCCGTGACTCCCCGTGTCTCTCTCCCGTGTCTCTCTCCCGTGTCTCTCCGTGTCTCTCCGTGTCTCCCCGTGTCTCTCCGTGTCTCTCCGTGTCTCCCCGTGTCTCTCTCCCTGTGTCTCCCCCGTGTCTCTCCCGTGTCTCCCCCCGTGTCTCTCCGTGTCTCCCCGTGTCTCCCCCGTGTCTCTCCCCATTGTCTCTCCCGTGTCTCTCCGTGTCTCCCCCGTGTCTCTCTCCGTGTCTCCCCCGTGTCTCCCCCGTGTCTCCCCATGTCTCTCCGTGTCTCCCCGCGTCTCTCCGTGTCTCCCCGTGTCTCCCCCGTGTCTCTCCCCATTGTCTCTCCCGTGTCTCTCCGTGTCTCCCCCATGTCTCTCTCCGTGTCTCTCCGTGTCTCCCCCGTGTCTCTCTCCCGTGTCTCTCTCCCGTGTCTCCCCCGTGTCTCTCCCCGTGTCTCTCCCCGTGTCTCCCCGTGTCTCTCCCGTGTCTCCCCATGTCTCTCCGTGTCTCTCTCCCCGTGTCTCTCCGTGTCTCTCCGTGTCTCCCCGTGTCTCTCCGTGTCTCCCCCGTGTCTCCCCGTGTCTCTCCGTGTCTCCCCCGTGTCTCCCCGTGTCTCCCCGTGTCTCTCCGTGTCTCCCCCGTGTCTCTCTCCCGTGTCTCTCTCCCGTGTCTCCCCCGTGTCTCTCCCCGTGTCTCTCCCCGTGTCTCCCCGTGTCTCTCCCGTGTCTCCCCGTGTCTCTCCGTGTGTCTCCACATGTCTCCCCGTGTCTCTCCGTGTCTCTCCGTGTCTCCCTGTGTCTCTCCGTGTGTCTCCACGTGTCTTCACGTGTCTCCCCGTGTCTCTCCGTGTCTCCCCCGTGTCTCCCCGTGTCTCCCCGTGTCTCTCCGTGTCTCTCTGTGTCTCTCCCTGTGTCTCTCCGTGTCTCTCCGTGTCTCCCCCGTGTCTCCCCGTGTCTCTCCGTGTCTCCCCGTGTCTCCCCTTGTCTCTCCGTGTCTCTCCCCGTGTCTCCCCGTGTCTCTCCGTGTCTCCCCGTATCTCTCTCCCCCCCCCCCCCCATCTCTCCGCGTGTTTCCCCGTGTCTCTCCCCGTGTCTCTCCCGTGTCTCTCCCCGTGTCTCTCCCCGTGTCTCTCCCCGTGTCTCCCCCCATGTCTCCCCCCGTGTCTCCTCCGTGTCTCTCCCTGTGTCTCCCCCGTGTCTCCCCGTGTCTCCCCCCGTGTCTCTCCCGTGTCTCCCCCGTGTCTCTTTCCGTGTCTCTCCCCGTGTCTCTCCCGTGTCTCGTCGTGTCTCTCCCCGTGACTCCCCGTGTCTCTCCGTGTCTCCCCCGTGTCTCTCCCCGTGTCTCCCCCGTGTCTCTCCCCGTGTCTCCCCGTGTCTCCCCGTGTCTCCCCCGTGTCTCTCCCCGTGTCTTCCCGTGTCTCTCCCTGTGTCTCCCCGTGTCTCTCCCCCGTGTCTCTCTCCCCGTGTCTCTCCCCGTGTCTCCCCCGTGTCTCCCCCGTGTCTCCCCCGTGTCTCCCCCTGTCTCTCTCCGTGTCTCTCCGTGTCTCTCTCCCCGTGTCTCTCCCCGTGTCTCTCCCCGTGTCTTCCCCGTGTCTCCCCCCGTCTCTCCCCCCGTGTCTCCCCCGTGTCTCTCCCCTTGTCTCACCGTGTCTCCCCCTTGTCTCCCCGTGTCTCTCCCTGTGTCTCCCCCCGTGTCTCTCCCCGTGTCTCCCCCCATGTCTCTCCCCGTGTCTCACCGTGTCTCTCCCCGTGTCTCCCCCCGTGTCTCTCCCCGTGTCTCACCCCGTGTTTCTCCCCGTGTCTCCCCCTTGTCTCCCCGTGTCTCCCCGTGTCTCACCGTGTCTCCCCGTGTCTCCCCCCGTGTCTCCCCATGTCTCCCCCCGTGTCTCTTCCCGTGTCTCACCGTGTCTCCCCGTGTCTCCCCGTGTCTCCCCCGCGTGACTGTGTCTCCTGTGTGTGCGTGTGACACTGTGTGTGTGACTGTGTGACACTGTGTGACACTGTGTGTGTGGCACTGTGTGTGTGTGACACTGTGTGTGTTTGACACTGTGTGTGTGTGACACTGTGTCTGTGACTGTGTATGTGTGTGTGACACTGTGTGTGTGACACTGTGTGTGTGACACTGTGTGAGTGACACTGTGTGTGTTACACTGTGTGTGTGTTACACTGTGTGTGTGTGACACTGTGTGTGTGTAACACTGTGTGAGTGACACTGTGTGTGTGTTACACTGTGTGTGGCAAAACAACCCCCTACCTCCTCGCGGTGCCGGACGGGCAACTCTGTCGTGGACAGTGCTGTGGGGGGAGATCCAATTTTGATTGGCTCCTCCCCTCATGGCATATGTGTCCACCACAGGGGCTAAACGGGGGCTCTGGACGGGTGCGAGGGGCTGGTAACCCCTTCACCTTCAATTAATTACCACGAAACCACGAGTTAAACTGAAATATGTAACAAATAAGCTTGTGCCGGAGGCCCCGGGGGGCCAGGCGTCTATGACGTCTCCTGGCCAAACCCCAATTGGCGGAGCCAGGAGATTGAATACCTACCCTCGGGGCTACTCTAGAAACAACGAAAAGCCACTACGGGTGGCCACGTGGAATGTTCGAACGCTCACTGCAGAGGAGAGGCTGCCACTCCTCTGTCGGGAGCTGGACCGGTACCGCCTGGATCTATGCGGCATTCAGGAGGTCCGGTGGACCGGGTCTGGCTACTGCCACCATGAGGGGTGGACAGTCCTCTACTCGGGGCAGCAGACTGCCAAACAACAGGGTGTGGGTCTTCTTTTGAACAAAAGAATGAAGTGGGCGTGGGAGCGTGGCGGTGAGGTGTGGGAAGCTGTAAGCCCCAGGCTACTTTGGGCTCGCCTTCCCATCAACCGGAGGCGAGGAATGGTGATCGTGGTTACTTATGCCCCCACCGAAGATGAACATCCGTGGAGGGATGCAGGCAAAGCCGATGAGTCAGATGCCTTCTATGACCTCCTGTCAAAGGTGCTGGCTAAAGTGGCCCCTCGGGATAGAGTCATCATGTTGGGTGACTTCAATGCCCGAGTTGGTCATGATACTGGCACCTGGTCTGGAGTGATTGGAGGGCACGGGCCAGATCAGCTCAATAACAACGGTAGGAGGCTGCTAGCTTTTGTGCAGCCCATGGGCTTGTAATTACCAACACGCTGTTCCGGCATCGGCGCATCCACACAACATCATGGATGCATGCCGGGTCCAAGCAAGAACATCTGCTGGACTACATAGTGACGGACCAGCGAATGCGAGCCCATGTCCTTGACACCAGGACCTACCGTGGAGCTGATCTGCCCTCTGACCATCGACTAGTCATCTGTAAGATGCGCCTGCCATTCTTCCACTCCGGTGGTGGGTGTACACCCAGGACCCCATTCCAACATAAAGTGGCCTGGTCTCAGTTATCTGATGAAAGTTGCAAGCGAGAATTTCATCATCGCTTGCGGCTGGGATTGACATCGTCTCCGACTCCTCCTGATGTCGAGGGTAAATGGGCGAGGTTTAGGACTGTGACTCATGCAGCTGCAATGGCTGCTTTGGGTACGCGGCCCAGACCTCTCCAGAGACCCTGGCTGACAGAGGAGGTGTTCAGGATGGTTGAGAAAAAGCGACTGGCCCACTGTCATCGGCTACAGAATCCCACGTCAGAGAATGAGGAGGCTTACCGCAGCCTTCGCTCGGAGGTTCGGAGAGCCGTGAGGCGCTGCAAGGATGGGTGGTGGTCGCGGGTTGCTGAGGAGATAGAGTCTGCCTCAGTGGCCCGTGATCACAAATCTCTATTTAACTCCATCAAAAAAGTAACCTGCAGCACCACACCTATTACCATCATTAGGGGAAAAAATGGTGATCCAATCTCCGACCCCCAGGAACAGGTTCGCAGATTTGCTGAGCATTTCTGTGAGGTCCTGGGGGAGGGAAAATCCCACAGCCAGGAAAACATCGTGGCACAAAGTGAGGATGACCCTGCTGAGGCTACGGTGCCTCAAATATTGGAAGAAGTCACCCCCTGTGAGTGGCTGGCTGAGGTGCCATCTGCTGAGAAAGTATTGAAGGCGATCCGGAGTCTGAGACCAGGAAAGGCAGCGGGCAGAGATGATCTCCCAAGCGAAATGCTGAGGGAGGGTGGCGTTTGTGCACAGACTGCCCTATATGACATCATAACAACAGTCTGGACCACTGGACGGGTTCCGCAGGATTGGAAGGATGCCCTGGTGGTCCCCCTTTTTAAGAAGGGGGACCGCACAGACTGTAACAACTACAGGGGCATCTCACTCCTCAGTGTGCCGGGAAAGGTCCTGGCAAGGATTATTCAGCATCGCCTTGCCAGGCACGCTGAGGAGAGGCTTGTGGAGCCCCCATGCGGTTTCAGGAAAGGGCGGTCCTGCACAGATGCCATATTTTCTGTCCGTCTGCTACAGCAGAGGTGTAGGGAATTCCAGCAAGACCTACATCTCTGCTTTATTGACCTGGTCAAGGCCTTTGATACCATCAGTAGGCCTGGGCTCTGGGTCGTTCTTCGTGCTTTTGGAGTACCTGACCCTCTGCTCACGATCATTAAGGACCTTCATGATGGTGAGCGGGCCCGGGTAAAACTACGTGGCCGGGAGTCAGAGCCATTCCCTGTACACCTTGGGGTGCGACAGGGATGTCCTCTGGCTCCCACATTATTTAACATCTATTTTGACCACGTAGTTCGTGAAGCCTTCAATAGCTGTACCGGGGGAATCTCCATATGGTACAGATATAATGGGAGGCTAATCGATGCCCGGGTGCGGTCAAGGGATGGCTCCCTATTGCTCAACCACGTTATGTATTCTGATGATTTGGTAATAGCTGCTCAGTCAGAGGAGGAGTTGGAGACGCTGCTGCTGAGACTGGAGCGTACCACTAAGAGGTGGGGCCTTACCATCAGCCCCACCAAAACTAAGCACCTGCCTGGGTATTTTGTACCATCGGACACTCCACCCCCACAACTCCCAATCGGTGATGGGGCAGTTGTGGAGAGAGTGGAGAGTTTCCCATACCTGGGCAGTGTGCTTATGACTGGCTCCAGTTTAACAGCAGAGGTCTCACTCCGAATCAGTCGAGCGGCAATATCTTTTCATCGGTTGCGTAACGCTGTGTGGAAGCTACCTGGTCTGTCGCTCCGCACTAAGCTTCAGGTCTTCTCGGCCACGGTCATTCCCTCCCTTCTCTACGCTTGCGAAACGTGGACCCCCCTAATGGAACATCTTCGCCGGTTAGAAACATTTAGGCTGGCCTGCCTACGATCCATCCTGGGTTTAACCAGACTGGATTGTGTGAGGAGCTCACAAATCCTTGAAAGATCTGGGCAGGGTCCCATCGGTGAGCTCCTCCGGCAGGCAAGGCTGCGATGGCTGGGTCATGTAGCCCGCATGCCCAGCCACCGCATGCCGAAACAGCTTTTGTTTGGCCGGATCGAGGGGGCTAAGCGGGCGCGGCACGGGCTAGAGAAGAGATGGAGTGATGTGGTACAGGAGGACGTGGAGCTGAGTGGACTTGCCGATGACTGGTACCAGCGGTGTCAAGATCGGCCTCTGTGGAGGAGGCTCGTGAAGGACGCTACTGGGCAGTTGGAGGCAGTCGCCCTCCAACAACAACGGAGGGCGGAGGAGCGACGCTCAGAACAACGAGCGGAGCGCCGGGTGGCTAAAGCACAGCAGGTTGGCACAGTAGGGGGCACAGGTGGTGCATCAGCCAGTCATCTCAGTCAGTCGACCCGTGGCACCTGGGTCTGCCCAGTGACCTCCTGCCAGCGGGCGTTCGACACTTCACGTGGCCTCACGGTGCACATAGCCTGGCACAAGCGTCGTGGTGACGTCACCGCCACTTAGTGGCGAATGGCGGTTGTTGTTGTTGTGTGTAACACAGGGTGACACTGTGTGTGACACTGTGTGTGTGACACTGTGTGTGACACTCTGTGTGTGACACTGTGTGTGTAACACAGGGTGACACTGTGTGTGTGACACTGTGTGTGTAACACAGGGTGACACTGTGTGTGTGTAACACAGGGTGACACTGTGTGTGTGTAACAC